ATCCCCTCTCCTCCCCTTTACTTTGGTTTCCCCTTCCCATCAGCATTACTTTGCTACCTTGGATTTGCTGCTGTTTCACTGTGAAAAATATTCTATTAGCCCCAACACATTCCAAGCAGGCACAAGGAAGATGTAACCTATACCTGCTCTAAGAACGACAACCTAAATAGAACACCGCCTTATGATAACAGAAGCTCTTGTTGAGAGAAATCATTCGCCCAGGCGTTCGGTTTTCTTTTGGCCTTGCTCTCTCTCACTTTGGCCTGGATTCTTACAGTCTGCCAGAGGATTCTGTGATAAATAATTAAGAGCTGCTTCCCCAAAGTTAACACATTTTGAAAAGTGAGAGGGTGAGAGAGAGGTTGAGGGGAAGACAATTTTCCAGGTGAAGGGGGAACAGATCTTTCAAACTGCAGAACAGAGCATGGAATCTCACAGATCAACTGGAAAAAAGGGGGCACCTGGTTTAAAAGACACCTGAGGATACATTGTTCTAGTAAAATATAATGGGTGTGACAGCTGTCCTGGAATAGAGCTTTTAGAAAATGGCTTAAAAGGGAGCAGCAACTTGATTTTTTAAAGTCAAAAGGGAACATTTATCTTTAAGAATGTTCAGAGTCAAGTTAGAAACAAGTCAAAAGACTCCCTGTCACAAGGGAGTTACTATGGAGCATTAGAATTCCCATTCATTTGGTCAACAGATTTTAACTGAGTAGCCACTATATGCCAAGCACTGGGGGAACAACACAGAGGAAGACCTTGCTTCAAAGACCTTTCTTTCTACAGGTTACATTATATGCTTTTTGCAACAAAATAGTTGAAGCACACAGTGATGACGACAAGAACTTTTGACCTGCTTATCCTGACACCCCCATCTAGACTGGGTTAGAGCCTCCTTCTATGCCCCAGAGTAGTCTACACTTCCCTGTTATTGCACTTATCACAGGGATGGGGATGCTTGCAGAACTGTCCCTCCTCCTCTCTAGAAAGTGGCCTAAGGAGAGTGACCATGTCTGTCTTACTCATAGTTTATATCCCTAGTACATGCTTGCTGAGTATTTAATTGGATGGATGGATGGGTGGACGGATGGGTGGATGGACGGATGGATGGATGATTTGTCAGGTTATGATCAGAGCTCTTTGCATGGCCAGGCAGTCTGGCAGAGTGGTTAAGAGCATGTGCTCTACCTTGGCTCTGAGACTTTGGGTCAGTTTGTAAATTTCCCAATAACTCAGTTTCCTCATTTGTAAAATGGGTATAGAAATAGTGTCTCCATTATAGTGGTGTTAAGTGAACTGCATAAGGTTATACATATAAAGTGGTTAGCAAAGTTCTGGGACATAAGTTTCTCCATAAATATCTGCTATTATTACCAATACAGAATGGCAGTTTTCTGGGTGACAGTTTGCTGTTTCGAATATTACATCCCTGCCCTTTCAGCTCCATTATAAGATCAAAGGATGTCAGTTAGGAATTCCAAGCTAAAGTTATCACTTTGTGTTCAAGATCTTTGAAAAGACTAAGAAGAGAATTTGGGAATGAATATAAGTAGGATATTGTACAAGAAAATTAAAAGGACTAGAAAAAGAAAGAAGGAAAAAAAGCTCAAGATGGCGTATCCAAAGCAACTTTTCTGGGCCAATAATACCTCTACTGCTCTCACACCCACATCCCCCCACAGATAGCCAAAGTACAGTTCATCTCTGTTCTGGAACATACTTGTGCCTCATAGAATGTCATGCCCAATAAGCATCAGTAAATGTTCACTGATGCAGAAAAAGAAAGAAAAGTGAAAAAAAAAATTTATTTAAAGTCAAGTCTTATCTAAACCTGTTATATTATCTTTCTTTTGAAAATCAAATAATCCTCTCTTTAAGACCTTTAGTCAGAATTGTCATAGTGCCTCCTCATATGCAGTTATCTATTTCCTTCTAAGTGAGATGAAATTCCAACCTGTGACCAGCCTATGGAAAGCTAACTTTAATGTTTCCCTCTGCTTCTATCAGCAAGAATTCACTTGGCCTCTTCCCTAGCCATGGGGGAATCTCATGTTTTTTTATCTTTTAAGAATAGTAAACTGTTTCTCCTTTATTAACTCATCCGTTAAAGAGTATTTTTTAAGTAAAATTAGCTTAGAGTCACTTTATTGATAGAAAAAATTAGGCATAGAAAGAATATGTAGGGCCAGCCCCGTGGCTTAGCGGTTAAGTGTGCGCGCTCCGCTACTGGCGGCCCGGGTTCGGATCCTGGGCGCGCACCGACGCACCACTTCTCCGGCCATGCTGAGGCCGCGTCCCACATACAGCAACCAGAAGGATGTGCAACTATGACATACAACTATCTACTGGGACTTCAGGGGGGGAAAAAAGAAGGAGGATTGGCAATAGATGTTAGCTCAGAGCCGGTCTTCCTCAGCAAAAAGAGGAGGTTTGGCACGGATGTTAGCTCAGGGCTGATCTTCCTCACAAAAAAAAAAGAAAAAAAAAGAAAGACTATGTAACTGGCCCCAATACTTCAGTTAGCAACTCTTTTTATTCCTCGAGTCTGCAGATACTTTATCTACTCCACAGGGAGAGCTCAGTCCTTAAATTTTTAATAGGATGTTTTATTGCCTAAAACTTTAAACAAAGAAAAAAATCAATCAGGTTGGCCTAGTTCTGGTTTTGATGGACTGGAAAATCAGGTTATAATTTAGGACAAAAATGTTGTTCCACAGGTTTCCTCCATTTAGGAGGAAACAAACACTGATGCAAATACAAAATAGGTGATATGGTACCCCCATGAACTTTGGGATGAATTCTTTCTCCTGGACTCATGGGGTTACAACATACGTCTCTGAAAGATTCAACAGAGTCACTTGAAAGGAAGCTCTTAGGAGAGGAAATAAAAATGCATGTAGAAAATAAGAGGAACACATAATAATTGTGATAAAAGTTACCATCTTTGAGGTCTTACTAAGACCAGCCACCATTAAGCATCCTTTACCGGTGTTGTGTTGTGTAATCTTCACAACAATGCAGAAATAATTACTCATCTCCATGTTAGTGGTGACACAACTGATGTTCACAAGGTTAAACAACATCCTGAATATCACACAATGGCATACTCCAGGTTACCAATTTCAAAACCGATACTCTTTTATTACTGGGAAAAAAAAAATTAATGAAGCAAATCATTCTCCAGTGGGATATTGAATTCTATTGTAGAAATAGGATCTTAGATTTGATGAATCTTAGTAATCTCTTCTTAAAACCTTCCTCCTGATTGATAACAACCCTGAGAAGGTGTTGTCCAGCCTCTGCGTGAAGTTTCCCCAATGAAATTCTCACTACTTCAACCAGGCAACCCCTTCCCCTTTAGATAGCTCCATTGTTTGAAGTTTTTCCTGAGAGTCACCTCTGAGAACAATAAAACAATTCCAAACCTTCCCCTCATGACAACCTGTAACACCATTTAAAACCTTTTAGATCTTTCAAGAGCTCCATGACTCATTCTTCCCCCAAAATCTTCTCACAACGTTTCCCACTGGAAACCTGCCAGACTTTCTCTATCTAGCTTCCTATGGATGTGCTCAACTTGCTGGAGTGACCATTTTTAACAGCTAGAAGAAGGATGCTAATCAAAGCACAGAGCTATGGCCCCCTTTTCTCATCTGTGGCACAGTACTTCTATAAATACATAAGAATATTGATGTTACATGTCTCCCCAAAATTCATATGTTGAATCCTAACCCCCCAAGGAGGTGGTCTTAGGAGGTGGGGCCTCTGGGAGATCATTAGGTCATGACGATGGAGACTTCATGCTGGCTCCTTGATCTTGGACTTCCAGTCTCCAGAACTGCGAGAAACAAATTTCTGTTGTTTATAAGCTACCCAGTCTGTGGTATTTTGTTATAACAGCCCAAATGGACTAAGATGATTGGATCACTTATTTATTTATTTGCCAACCATTTCACAAGACTGTTGGCTCATAATGAACTTGAAGTAAAATTCCTTGGTCTTTTTTACTTGAACTGATCGTAGGCCACATTTTCCCCATCTTACCCTTGGACAATTGACTTTTTGAACTGAAGATAAGACTTTATGTTTCCTCTGAAGTTTTATCATCAGTTGTTCTTGGAACTCTGTAATCTGCTAAATCTTTTATAACTCTACCCTACAACTTGGGTACATCTGCAGATTTGGTCACCCATACTTTCTATGACTTAATTCAGATGGACAAAGATGCTACAATGGTCAGGACAAAAGGCAGAGCGCTGGGGCTCAGCACACAAGACCCACTGACCATCTTTATGATGCTTCACCAATTACAGAACACTTTCCCAAACATTATTTCATTTAATTCTTACAACTACCCTGTGAATAAGATACTATCATCATTCTATATGTGAGGACAAAGATTCAGAAAGACTATCTGACTTGCCTGATGTGACACAGCTAATAAATGACACAATAGGAAACAAGCCTTAGGGCTTCTGACTTTGTTTCCAGTGCTTTTTCAAAGACAGATTTTTAAATACAGTGATTAACTTAATCTCTTTTTCCCTTTTTTTTAATCCCCCATGCATATCAACAGAGACTAATTAAAACCAAGAAATATTTTCTACAAACAGACTCCTCTGAGAAGCAAGGTGGAGGGCTCTTAGCCTCTGTCCCTTTGTCCCAGCTGGGGCCTCCCCTCAACCTTCCATTGATGGTAATGTGGCACTTATAGTCCTCAGAGTAGATTGGGAAGTCACTAGTCAATGGCATGTCCTCAAACTGTAGCCATCTCTAAAAATTTTTAAAATAAGGCTAGCTTGTCATGCTGTGTTTTTATAATACATTCTAGAATTTTGTGGGAGATCTTCCATCTAAGAGGTTTAATAATCTTTTACGTGTAACAGAATTGTTTTAAAGTTTGAGGGAATCTTTGGGTTTATTTAATTCAGATCTTTATTTCACAGATGAAACAGCCCCCTAGTGATAAGTAATTCACATAGGATCATTCCGTGGAGGATCAAGGACGAAAACTCAGACCTGGACCCTCGTAGGCAGGTAAATTCTTCTGATTATATCATGGAGTCACGCTTTTAGAAATCTGACTCTTTTGATTAGAAGATGACATCTTTAACAAGATGAAGCTTCTGGTTCTCACTTAAGCAACCAACAAACATTTATTATGTACTTGGTATTATAATGGCATTTAAGATGTTACAAAGGAGTAAAATGTAGCAATTAGCTTTAGTAATAAGGCCTTGAAACAGTGGTGCTTAGCTTACACACATTACAGGATCCTTTAAAGTCTATGCAGAAAAATGTTTATGTAAAATTTGCAAACGTTTCAACGGGTTCATTGATGCCCCACACCCCCACCCAGTTCCAGGGTAAGAAGCTCTGGCCAATCCCAGTGCCTGTGCCACGTCAGGACTGCGGGGCATCAGCTGCTACCTTATGTATGGTCTGCTGGTTAAAGGCTGCTTCTGTTTCGGCAGCCTTCATACTTTATTTAAACGGAGCAGCATCTTATCCTGGAAGACCTTTGATACAAGAGAGAAGTAAATGTTTTAATAAGAATTTAATTAACCAGATAGGACAAATTAAGAGAGAAATGTGATAAAATGAAAACATTTTCTTTCAAAAATGTTAACAATGAAAATGAGGATGGTCAGTGTTCATCACAGGACATTCATTTTCTTTGTTTCTTTTTTTTTTTCCCCAAGAAAGAAAGAAAAGGAAATAGCAAAATGAAAGAAACGTAGATGACCACTAGCTGCCTGCCCACTTTTATTAAATCTATAGTAAGTGGAAAAAAGAGTCGGAGGTGTGAACCAAAAGAAATAGATTTATCTTCTGAATGATTGTTTCTTTATCCTTCCCTTTTGCTACAACGTTTTAAGAGATTTATGGTTCTGAAACAGTTGGCAACAATGTCTTCATTTCAAAATAGTTGGGGAGGCTCCAATATTACTTTCAAGTTACTGATAACGAGGCTTGATTTAATTACTAATTCAAAGATACTCGTTGGACCCTTAGCACCCTGGAGCAGTGTTCTAGGAGGCAGTCCGGGGTGAGAGGGAGAGCCCACTCGAGTGAGGGAGTCCTAGGACTCACCCCAGCATTGTTTCCTCCTTGGCTCCTGACAATAAGCAAAGTACAAAAACTTAACAGCCTCGGTTTCCTCCTCTTTGAAATGAGGTGATATATATTTTATCTCCTTTATGACAGCCACACCAGAACTGGATAAACATTCTGAAGAATAAGCTCTCTAAAAGTGGCTTCTAATTTAATAACTGATAAAGTTCACATCTTCTGCCTTAAAAATGGTCTCATTCTCTTGTATTCTTTGCCTGGTATTCATAGCCTCAGCAATGGTGTATTAGTCTATTAGCATAGTGTGTAGTAATCATGACAGTGAACATTCATTTAGACCTTCCTATGTATTATTCTAAATACTTGACACTTTTTAATCTTTCTAGAATCAAATGAATGAAGTTCTATTATCATTCCTATTTTCCAGTTGAGGAAATTGAGTCACTGGTTGAGTAGCTTAGCCAGGAGCAAACCCAGACGGGATCCAGAGCCAGGGCTCATAATCACTCACCATGCCACCTCTCAGCAGGATTCTCACCCAGCTCCCCACATGGTCACCTCCATAGGGCCTCGGTTTCTTCATCTTTAAAATAAGAATCATTCAAGTTAAGCATCTAGCAAGTGCCTGCCACAGTGGTACTTAAATGCTGTTTCTGTTACCTGAAGAGACTTCTACATTTTAACATTCTAGTGTTTTCAAGGAAGAAATCTGAATTTGTTTCCTAGGGCTGCTATACCAAAGTACCACAACATTGGTGGCTTCAAACAAGAGAAATTTATTCTTAGATAGTTCTGGAGGCTAGAAATCTGAAATCAAAGTGTCAGCAGGGCTGTGCTCCCTCCAACGGCTCTAGGGGAAAATCCTCCCTTGCCTCTTCCAGCTTCTGGTGGCTGCAGGTGTTTTTTGGTTTATGGCTACATACCTCCAGCCTCTGCCTCTTCCTTTGCACGGCCTTCCTCTCTGTGTCTCTCCTGAGGTCACTTGTCATTGGATTTAGGACAGACATGGGTAATCCAGGATGATCTCTTACCAAGATCTGTAACTTAATTACATCTACAGACACCCTTTTCCCCAATAAGGTCACATTCACAGGTTCCAGGATGTGGACGTATCTTTTGGGGGGCCGCCATTCAACCCACCACAATATCTTAATCCGAATATTTTTATGTCTTGGGAGATTCTCTCTGGTATTCTTGACAAACAAGCCCACATTTATTCAAAGAGAGAAAAGAATATTTCATCTCACCCAGTTTAGGCCTATAGGTAAATTGTTCACAAAATCTGTTGGTTAAAAATATTTTTCTTAATATGCCCAGTTGCCATTAGTCTTCTCCACATTTATGTGAGAATCAACAAAGTTCTTATGAAACAAACAATTGTTACCCATTTAAAAGAACAAACTTGGAGCTCAGCATTTCTCCACTTTTCGCTAGAAGCATGCAGGCAGCCACGCACTTTGAAGGAGGTGAAAGAGAATGAAGCCAGCAGTAATATGTCCACACTGTTCTTCCCAAGAGAGTGAGAAATCCACTTGGCTAAAATGTCAGTGAGACCTTTTTCTTTTAGTATATCATTTAAGTAACTCACTTCTAAGTACAAAATTACAAAATCTACTTAGAGTAATTTAATTGCCTAAAAGCAACAACATGTTTTGACATAACTCTCCAAACTCCTGCCTTTCCCTTCTCACGTCCTCCTTCTCCCTCTACTTCCCACCCCAGAAACTAGCTGACCTAGAATGCTAACCAGCCCAGTAGGGAAATGTTGCTTGATCTGGGGATTGGCAGAGAGCACCTCAACAACGCTGTGTGTATCTCCATGCCCCCTGGAGTCAACCTAGCTCTCCACTCATTTCCCTAAAAGCAGTAATCACTGAGATACAGAAGCAGGTCAGTTGAGGGCAATGAAAAAGCAACAGCCTATATTACTGTTGTCACAAAAATCACACCTATGAAAGTTCAGTGTTGCTGGTCACCAAAATAAGAAAGACCCTGACCTCATTATCAGAAGGTTTCTAGACAGTGTCATAAGAAATAAAGAATAAGCCGGAAGAATAAGAAGGAGGAAGAAGAGGAGGAAGAAGGACAGAAAAATAAACAAAAAGTTTTATGAGCAAATCTATTCAGTGTTACCAAAAAAATTGGCAAAGAAAACAGAAAATTAGTATTAGAAAATACTATTGAAAGAGCTTTGGTTGACCAGCTGCCTTTGCAACCAGATTTTCTTTGGCAGAACTCTGGGAACAAATGTTCAGCAGGTATGCTTTTGACAAATCAGTATTGCAGTAACTCAGCTTCCTTGACTTCAAATTGTCCCTTGGAAAAATGTCTTCTGTTTCTGAAGACACATCAAATATAATGACGACAGGTAAGAATGAAATAAAGGCTTAATTTTTCATGGTCAGGCTTCCAGCTCCTAAGAAAACCGAGTCCTTAGAAACAAGCAGTAAGCAGGTAGTTCCTTTACCAAATTGTGGGTTTGATGGCCAAGAGCTTGGAAAGAAAAGAGAAAGGCAGAAGTGTAATGATGTGCATGGAATACCATTGCCAGGAAATGGATTTGTAATGATAGTAGAAAAGTAGTTTCAGGGCCGGCCCCATGGCTTAGCGGTTAAGTGCGCACGCTCCGCTGCTGGCGGCCCGGGTTCGGACCCCGGGCGCGCACCGACGCACTGCTTCTCCGGCCATGCTGAGGATGCGTCCCACATACAGCGACTAGAAGGATGTGCAGCTATGACACACAGCTATCTACTGGGGCTTTGGGGGGAAAAATAAATAAATAAATAAAATTATTTAAAAAAAAAAGAAAAGTAGTTTCAGCAACTTTCCACTCTTATTCTCCTTTAAGTGCTCTGGGTATTGGGATCTTATGAACCCCTTATTTCACATCTTTGTCAAAAACAGGTACATATATCATAGAATTTATAATTCCCACAAGTACTGTAGGAGATTAAGCTACTAGAATTTCACTGATGCCAAGAATAAACCTAAACAGGTCAATCCTCCTCTCAGAAGGTTCTTTGTAGGTTGGCAGTCTCTAATTTTCCTCTTATATCCTGAAACCAAGAAGGGAACCCCAACTGGAATGCCATAATTATTATTTGAAGACCTTTGGGGTTATTTCTTTAGTCAGCTTTGGATGGTACATCTATGTGATTTTGCTAGACTAGTAATGCCCCTCTACAAATTGAGAATCTCAATGACTTTTTAAAAATATTATTCAGGCCATTTTAAAGTATATTTTTAAATTTCAGTCCTTCAGAATTTTTAGAGTTAATCATTGATATTTAAAAAATTTTAATTGCAGTAAAATATACCTAACATAAAAATTTACCATCTTAACCATTTTTAAATGTACAGTTCAGTAGTGTTAAGTATATTCACATTGTTGTGCAACCAGTCTCCAGAATGTTTACATCTTGCAAAACTGAAACTCTATACCCATTGAACAACTCCCAATTTCCCCCTTCCTCCAGCCCCTGATCACCACCATTCTGCCTTGCCTCTGCATTTGACTACTTTAGATATCTCATATAAGTGGAATCACACAGTATTTGTCTTTCTGTGACTAGCTTATTTCACTTAGCATAATGTCCTCAAGATTCATCCATGTTGTAGCACGTGTCAGAATTTCCTTATTTTTAAGGATGAATAGTATTCCGTTGTGTGTATGTACTACATTTTGTATATCCAATCATCAGTCGATGGACATTTGGGTTGCTTCCGTCTTTTGGCTATTGTGAATAATGCTGCTTTAACATGTGTGTATATTTAATGACTTTTTAAAAAGGATTTTATTAATGACTTTAAGGCCACTGTTAGTGTTGCTCTCTGGTTACTTTTTACTTCTAAAAACAACTTGGCAGGCCCTGGGAACAATATCTTTAGAAGGAAAAAGCTACCCAGAAGCTATATTATTTTCTCTTTCCTTCATATAGGATAACAGGGTTTCCTTTTTTAAATAA